CTACAACGGTCCTCCGGGGGAATGTCTGCGTCGTGATCGAGCAACTACATGTTTGATTAGCAAAGTGAGTCATGATTCTGGCGGTGACCCACATATTGTAGGAAATCCAGCAGCCACTGGACGGAGGCATCCCTACTCTCCAGAAACTTTGTGTACCGTGCTTTATCGTGAAAGAGCTTATTCAGCTGTCTCACAAGCTCGTGGATGGTGGCATCTAGGGAAAATATTCAAGACAACAAAAATATAGCATAGACTGCCCACCTCTATCATATTTATCCGTCTTTGAGGCCTGGCCAGTATCCGCCCCGCCTGTTTGAGCCTCGGAGGCACTGCTGGGGATATGCTTGCATATGCGGTCAATTTTAAGAGCTCTCTTGATCCAAGTCTCGAGCACAGAGCTGCCGTCTTCCTGGGATGTTGCTTCGATCCTTGTTACCGGTTTTGCACCAAGGAAGAGTGATTTGCTCCCACCTCGACTACTCTCCAAGATCGCAGCAAAATCTTTACAGCTTTGTGAGGTGTACAGAAACGTGGATGTCTGGGAAGTCATCTGATCTGTGAACCGGTCAGACACTGCTTGCCGTGTCAATTTACCCACGAACTGACCACATAGCCCGTGCGAAAAGAGGGATAGGATCTCCTCGAGTGTTTCTGTCGACATTGGTGTATGAGTGTACGAGGTCCATAAGGGAGGCAACCATTCTGGCCTACTTGCATCAGCATTTGTTTCCTGGTAATGTACAAGACGCACTCGGGATCTAGCCCTGTCGTGAAGAGGCCGGCTGTGATTTTCATGCACCCGGGATCCACGCTGGAAAGAGGCTTTTCAAGATGGGTTCTGGTCCAATAGAGCAGGCGTACAGTCCACTGTTGTCGTAGCGACCAGTGTCGTACGAAGTCGTGGGTCGCAGCGACCCGGGAATCATCTCTGCGCTGGATTGCTCCACTTCCACCGGTAAAAAGACCTTTCTGACTCTGAGAGTTACGATGAAGCAAAGGTGTGGACGTAGGGTGAGCGTAGGAAGCAGCCGTATTAACGCCGGATCACGTTGTTGGTAACTGGCTATGGTGAGGCACGAGCCATTACGCTGCACAAACGCTGCAAGCAGTCGGCCTTGAATGATCCCAGCCCGGTCTCTTCTTTTTTGAAATGTATGCAGAAAAATGAAGAGCATTGGCATAGTTTCACTACTCCGAGTCGGAGGAAGTGGAGATCAAATCAATTATCACGATGCCCAATTTGGGACTCGTTTCTCACGAAACCTTGCCCAAACCTCTCTTCTCCAATATTTCCACCTACGCCTGTTGGATCTGTTCAAAATGAAGGCAACCCTCCTCCTACCTGACATTCGAAATGGCAATATAATCCCACCGAACTCCCTAAATTGAATAAGTAGGCGCCCCAGTGTGATGTGCCCGCGTTGTGTATAACCACTGGGCGCTCAGCGCTGCCTACGCCACCACGCAGTGCTTGTCAGAGGACACAGCTTCTCAGTAGCTTCGTCCTCTACCTCCTTCCCCCATGTCTGAAAGCGAAGCTATCCAACCCCGGCAAGCCAACGATGCTCAAGATTCTTCCGGGCCGCCGTGCGTGTTCACCTTGGTTATCAGTAATTCAGACAGGTCTAGACCATTGGCACGGGCACAGACTAGTGCATCAGTCTACTCGTGGTGGTCAGATTCGAACCCGATGATGCGCCTGGTCAGTGGTTACCCGAGCCGGGCCCATCGGGCCTACTACTATATCCAGCGTACAGGAGCTGACATGTTCATGCAAGTCACTCATTATCCGGATTCATGTCATGTACTTCAACACAGGTTCTTCAGGGCTCAACCTTCTCCGGTCATGGTGCGCCATAAATCTATCACTTGTGGATGCTCCAACAGTTTCAGTTTGTTGCCCGGTTTGTGCAAGCAAACCCAACCAGCAGAGTCTTCGCATGTGCGTACCATTGGTTGAGAAGTCATCTTTCGAATTCCGACACGTACAGTCGCATTCTTGACATTGCTTCCTAGCGCAAAAATATTTGGACGGGCGATGGAGGATTTATCGTTGCGTGTCGAGGAGCATACTGGGCTATTCATCCGTGTCCTCGGAGGCAACTCCCTCGAGCTTATATCTAGGGTAGGTGAACTCAATCGTGATGATCGTATGCTCATCGTGTTTGCAGATTATTGCCATAATTCAATGTCAATTGGAAGTCTTACAAGCTTCACGTATGCTCCAGCGACTTCGTCAAGTAATTCCCAAATCTCAATCTGTTTTAGTGGTTGGCTCGATATTGATCAATATCCTTCTCGTCATGGGCTGGGCGTGTATGTGCATCCTTCCATGATTTCTTGTCAACAACGACTCACACAGTCCTCGCGGGCGGAATCAAAATTTCTCAAATGGGATACGGGGCAACCACGGCGCTCGCCCCAGCGCATATGCTGCTGGTGGGCACGATCGCGGCATTGCTCCGAGTACTTGATTATCCTATGCTACTACTACTAGGATTTGTACTCATATATCTGCAGCCATCTTTGCAGCGTCCTTTGGTGCAGACACTGGCTCTGATGTTCTGCAGACACGTGTTTCAATCGTGAAAATAAGCAGAGCGGTATGTATGCCAAGTTGTCGTATTAGATCCTGAGCACGACAATCCCAGGTATCGGTGGCTGTGTTATTCTGGTCAGTCTCACAGTAAAAACACACTAAACAACCTGATCGAGTTTTTTATCCAGTTATCTCGTTTTCTGCTTCTACCAACTCTGGTAAGTCGATTGAGTACATACACAAGTTGATTCCACAAGAAGTCAGGTGATGCAGTACCAACCGTCAAGTACGCACCTCGCAAACCATCGCCTCGCCAAGACATCGAGAGGACTGGGTCACTTTCGAGATTATCCGGTCATTTTGCTTCCTGCTTCTCCCAGTTGTGAGTCGATTGCGTACATGTGTCATGCACAGCTCCGCTCATATGAACCTCTCGAAGCTCCCATTCCACTTGGTTCCGCAAAAACTCCGGTGATGCAGCTCCAACTGCACCTCGCGAACCACCGCCCGGCCAAGACATCGAGGGGAGGCCACTTTCGGAGGGTGAGGAAGAAGACGAAGAGGATGAGAAGGATCCTACTAAGCTCTTACAGTTCCGGAGCGCTCAACTACGCGATGGCTCATAAGCTTCCATAGAATCTGTCCATGTTCATCCAACCGTTCGTCGCCTGCCGCTTCAAGTCAAACCATTATCAAACGACTCTTTCTACTGCAGGATCCTCATCCTCCTGGCATGGATGATGAAAAAGGTTGTGCATACAACCGCTAAGCCCTGTGAGAGGCCTTCGCTAATGTAACCTTTCAGAATCTCACACTCTTGTACGACCCATTTGAGACTCTGGTAATGTTGCGTCTCATTCATTTATGCCGATCTCGTCGTTGAATAGATTTCCTTCGTAAAGACCTTGTTTTTATCTGTCATGGCAGCTTTCCAACGGTGGCCAAGCTCATTGACGGATGTACAAAAGTGCTCGCGGTCAATATCTATATAATCCAAGGAAAAGTCGACTTTCTCGCCGGAATTGTACTGATCAGTAGGTTGCACTCCTGGCAGTCCATCCTTGCTGATTCAACATTTCGCCACAGTTCTTTACGTACTTATTGTATGTTCACTCCTTCTGCAGCCAGGCATTAGACATTGATTGCGTTCCAGGCGATATCATTTTGGTTTTATGTGAGATGATCCAAACGATGATGCAGTATTCTGCCCACTGACGAAACTCGGTACAGACTGGCACCCACGTTTTCAGCAACCTACTGTTGAAATGTTAAAGTTTGATTCGAGTGCTGTTGTGGATTCTAGAATATAGTAGCTCCCATGTAATTGGCATTTCAACCCGCCCAATATGTTGACAGTTGGATGAACCTCTGCATGCCGCCTTGAAGCCCGAACCTCATGCTGCCAAGCGACGCAGATGTCGTGGCGTTCAAGTTCTTGAAGTGAGAATTGTTGGAATTGTCAGTGACAGATGTTGATATGAATAATTCACAGTACCGCAGCTGACAAAGGCATCTATCTACCTACGCTCCCGCCGGCGCAGCATCGAGATATATCCCAATCAAGCTGCGTACCTTCTCGTCGTCGACCGCATCAAGGTCTGGCTTCAGTCCATGAGCAATCTCCCAGTCAAGATTGGCGATATCGGCGTCGAACGGCGGTCTTCCGACCCAAATGTGCCAGATTGTCACTCCGAGCGCGTATAGGTCGTCTGCTTCGCAAAGTGGGGGGTCCAAGTCATTATAATACTGGCGACACCTCCACGGGCTCAGGTATGTGCCCTGGTGGAGCGGCTTTCCCTCCGATTTGAGTTGCGCGGAACCCCAATCGCAGAAAATCAATCTCCCGTCTGACTTGCGTAGGAGAATGTTGTCGGGTTTGATGTCGCTATGGATGATGCCCTTGTTGTGTACCCTGCGCACAAGGGACTGCAGCTGTTCGATCCAGTCCCTTTTAATGGCCTTTGGGAGCTCCAGGTCGAGCAAAGTTTCGCATGGCATGATAAACCCCTGGAGTTTGCTTCGGATGATGTATCGACCCTCGACCTTCACGGAGACGTCCTCGCCGGCCAGCAGCATCATACGCAGCTCGGTCGTGACTTGAGGAGCCACATCCTTTCCGTTAAGGTCGTAAAACGATTTGAGAACGAGTCGCTCGTTTTTTATCATGCTGACAGCGGCATGTTCGGAGGCGGAGAGACGACGGCCCTTCATGCGGAAAACTTGACGTTGATCCAAGTCGCCTGGCCATGCCCCCAGTGGAGAGGTTATTTGTGCATCCAAGTCGTCTGTGTGCATTTGCGGGGTGTGAGAGCAGGTAAGCTTAGGAGAGTCATCAAGGCAGGAGTCAGGGGACATCTTTGATCGATCATAAACAGCACACATCACCACAACGCCGCGTTCCGAAACGGGCAATTTGACCTTCACTTTAGTTCGCTACCATCCAACTTGCCCCCTTCTCAACGGTTCGATGGTGTAGTTGGTTATCACTTCTGTCTAACATTTGATGGGAAATTCCCACGGTCAATGTGATCACAGGCGGTCCTCGGTTCGAACCCGGGTCGAATCATCCTTTTGCGTCCAAGAACTTCATTAATTTTGTTCGCGCACTCTCCCTATGCACGTTTTTCGAAGGTGCGTCAAAAAGCTCCTTTTCCGATGCTTACTGATGCTTATCAGCCCCTGTGAGTCAGTTGGGCACACCTGCGCAAACAACGCACCCAGCTCTTTGTCCCAATTCCAACTTGAAGGCATCGCTCGACGCCTCCTCAAATGCTGTGTAATATTCGGCTTCTCATCTCCGGGCTCTCTGGCTGTGACTCTGTGAATTTGCTGTCAGTCCTCAACTGTGACCTCAATGCTCGCTGCGGCAGTCTTCATCCTTGGACTACAAGCCTTCCACGGCGTTGACACTGGCAGGCCTGTCTCACTGGCGGTTTTCATGAAGAACAAAATCCTTCCCCTCACAACATCGTATTTGGCATGTGCGTACTGCCGGTGGGTTTCCATCGAAGAGCTTTCTCGGACTCGGTTGTCGACGGCCACTGGAGGCCACAGCTTCTCCCGGGGTCTCAAATTTGAGACATCTCACCGCCTTCCGAGACCGCCCAAAAAGTGCCAAGCGATGACGACGAACCAGACTTTGGGGAGAAGATGTGTACTTGGTTGCAGGCGCCGAGGACCAGGCCCGAGGTTCAAATCATCTACGAAAGTTGAGGTGCGGCAGCGAGTTCGTTGACGAGAAAAGTCAAGGAAGGGGTTTTCATTCGAAAAAGCCTGCGAAATGCCGGGGATCTATGCTCCGAGTCCCAGCCACACTCAGCCACAGCAAACGGAGACAAAGTGCGATGATGGTGTGAAGAATCAGAAGATGACGGGTTTAGTTCCCGTTCTGCCGGACATGTAATTTTGATCTGTCCCGCCCGCGGCCGCGATCCGTTCCGTTTACTTGCCAAGACTTGCCATTTACCGCTCGGACGGTTGTCGGACGGCGTCCATTCTCATGCAAAAGCCATTCTTGCCGCCTGATGAATGCACCAATTAACGCCCCTCATTATCACAGCGCTAGCGGTCTTCCGGCGCGTCGAACAGCGTACATTTATCAGCCGTGTCAGCAAGTATGACCGAGGCAGCCTCTCAAAATGACCCGTCTCGATGGGACGGACCCTCGTCCTCTTCATCCTGAGTATCCTCTCTGCTTTGTATCTTTCCCGCAACGCCCCATTCTCTCGATTTGCACTCAAGCGAAACATGGCAACCTTCGACCTCCCCACGATGCAAAAGGAATGGCGAAAAGTCCTCGACGAGCTCCCCGACACTCCCGAGAAGATTCCCGCCTTCTTCTTTGGCCACGGGTCGCCCATGACGATGACTCCGGCCGGTGCCAGCGGGCCTTTAGCCACATTTCTCAGGGACTTTGGGCCCGCACTCCTCAAGAAATACCAACCCAAAGGCATTGTCGTGTTCAGTGCCCATTGGGAGACGCACGGGGAACGTCTAGGTGCGTCCGATTTCTTCAAATTTGTCTATTACTTAAATCTGCAAGTCACCGACTACGGCGACACCAACCCCTTGCTGTACGACTACTACGGCTTCGCACCCAGCTTCTACCAAATCGACTTTAAATCCCGCGGCGACACTGCCCTCGCCCAACGCGTCGTAGACCTCTACAAAGCCGCTGGCCAACGCGCGCGCCTGAGTCCCAAAACCGAGTCTCGCGGCCAAGACGGGCGCGGATTCTCTGGACCGGGGTTTGATCACGGCGTCTTCGTCCCCTTCCGCATCATGTTCGGGAACGTCTTTACCGACATCCCCATTGTGGAGGTTTCAATCGACGCGAGCTTGAGTCCCGAGGTCAACTGGGATGTGGGCAAGGCGCTGGCAAAGTTGAGGGAGCAAGGCATTCTCGTCCTATCGGGCGGTTTGACTGTGCATAACCTTCGTGACTTTAGCAGCTTTTCACCAGACAGGGCCAAGCCTGCGCATATCGAATTCGACCGCGCAATTATCGAGGCGGTCAAGGTCGAGGATGTACGTTCTTCTATTATATCCCTTTCAATTTCTGGTCGCGATACTTACTGTTACTGTTGCGACTCTGTAGGACGCAGCTCGCAAAACCGCGCTGATAAATCTCGTTCAGCATCCCGGCTTCCGTGCGTGCCACCCGCGCGAAGAGCACTTTGTTCCCATCTACGTCGCTGCCGGGGCGGGCGATGGGGGCGCTGCACGCCTCGTTACGGATACGTACGGTTCTGAGACTGTTGCCTTTGGACTCTGATTTTTGTGTTTAATGGAATCATGTATTGTAACTTTGGAAATTTAATGAAGTGGAGAGCATCTATTGAGCGCGCAACAGCGACGACCTGGGACTTGTATGACCAGAAGTAGTGCACGACTTGGAAAGTTGTTCTGAAGCGCGGGACGCGGGCGGGCTTAATTTGCTGTCCTTGACTCCCGAATTCTGAATTTTTCGACCTCCTGAGGACATCCATACACACTTGTCCGTTGTTACTTCTCCTCCAAAGTGCACACCGCTCAAAGTGGCAATCGTCCGTCGCAAGCAGCAGGAGTGCAGGTGGGTCCCAGAACATTGTAGTTGACAGTACCAGGCAATTTCGCCAACAAGATTCGTTGAGATACAAGTTTCCTGAGACTCGGAGAAGAATAGATGTACCAATGAGCAGAGTGCCAGAAATTCAAGTTCAAACACGCTGGTCAGCAGAGTGGTCCAGGCCGCCGACGTAAGATAGTGGATGTGAAGCAGTAGAGGCTGTAACGAGCCCATTCCGAGTCTTGGAAAATTTTCTTCGGATATTACAGCGCCAGGGTCAGCGAGAAACTGCCGTCAAAGTCTTGACCAAAGTCGTGGTTCCTGAAAGAGAACGACGTCCGTGTGAAACGCTGATCCGCCCTGCTCGTCTCACCGCCGACCTCGCTGTTGCTTGCCACTTGCTCCAAGTCATAAACATCTTCACACTGGCTGGGTTTATACCCTCTCTCCGATGTCCAATGGCCGCAAGCCGGTTACTCCAGAGTCGATATACTACAACCCGTTTGCCGAGGATCCTCGTCAACGAACCACCGCTATCGACAGACCCTTTCTGTCCGACCGCAATCTCCGGCCGGCTGTGAGACGGAGAGCGTCCAGCTCAGACGATGCCGCAGAGAGCTCTGCCAGTTCGAGTAGTGGCATCAGCGTGTTCACCAGTGCGCCGAGGCACATGCGTATCAGGACAGAGCCTGGCTCTACGGACTGTCGTGGAAAGTGGTGGTCACCATCCGCTACGGAGTGCAGATTTATCTGCTGGGTTCCGGACTGGGGCTGGTGTTACTCGGCCACAGCTCACGCGTATCGTCAATATCGCGCCCCTGGTCGATGCTCCTCCGGTCCCAGGTGCAGACATGATTGTGGCGGAGCCTGAGGAGAACGAGAAGGTGGTATTGGTACACGAGGTGAGTAGCAGCCCTCCTGCGTCTCAATTCGGTCTGACAAAATGACAGGTAACGCCGCAAGACTCGTTGGCTGGCGTGTCGTTAAAGTATGGTATCAGCCTGGCGGAACTCAGGCGAGCAAACCACCTATGGGCTTCCGACCCGATTCATCTGCGCAAAGTCCTCTACATTCCGCTCGATAAGACCAAAGAGAGGGTTCCCTCTGCGATACTTGTCTCCACCGAGGACGACGACCGACAGTCATCACATTCCGACACCCCTGCTCCTCCCTCCACAATACGCCGCATACCGGTATCACAACTCTCATTTTTCCCTCCTCCTGCGAAGCCACAGGAACTCCCGCCTCCTCCGTCTCCCCCACCTCAGCCAATTCCTCGAACGAAACACCCACATTCACGGCACGCGCGCTACGCCACAACACCTACCCCCGGAGTCTCGGGTTCGCCCTCCTTTACCTCTATCCTCAGCGCCCTTCCCATCCAGCCCTCCACACGCGACACCATCATCGCACGCCTCTCATACGAGAGCACGAGTTCCGGGCATTCAGACCAGCCTGACGAGGGCCACGAACTCGATGACGTCCGACGTGGCGCATCTTTGGATTCCAGTGCCACAGCATTATCCCCGGAATTCGCTACACCGAAACCCAAACCACGGCCCTCACATGCACGTACTTCGTCTGCGTCCATGCTATATGGCGGTGGCGGGGGCGCGCAGTACAATCGCGCGGGCCCGCCGAGGACGGTCCAGCTCGAGCCGTCTCCTGCTATGCAGTTGCCCATGGGCTTTGGGACTATCAGGCGGAAACCCAAGGCGCGAGTGAATGGGGATTTTGATTTGCTCGGGCTGGGTGCTGGGGAGGGAGAGGGGGAGACGGTGGATGATATGTGACGATGCGTTGTTTGGTGGTGGTGGAATGGCGACCAGGGCTTGGCCTGCTAGAGAGGTACGTTGATTTCGTTGGATGGCGACTGGTGGCTCACTATTGTAGGATTGCGTGCTCATAGATGATGTACGCCTGCAGCGTCCTAGCTCGCCGTGAACGGCCACGGAGCGATCGGGGCTCAGGCAGTTGTATATGGTATAGAGGATGGATGGCCCTGGAATACACTACAATTCGTTAGTAGATGCGTAGGGATGGGGATATTTGCTGTCGGCAAATAATGATGCCGACTTTCTTACTTCTGCACCACCACGACCACCCTGGCCTGGCCTACTCTCGAATCAGCTGGCGGCCATGATATCCTTCCCCGCATTTGCTCCCTTGATAGTGCAAGAGAACTCCCTGCATTTGGACCATCTTGATGCCGTACTGGATGGAAAGTTCATAAAACGCGCTGTCTGAGCTACAGGGACATCGGTTGCCTTCCCACTCTCCTTCTCCCCTCCCACTCGGTGGGGGACAGCCTGCCTGCCAACTTCCAATAATATGCGCACGTTCGTCAGTCAGACTGATATCCATGTCTTCCCAGGCTCGGGTGCGTGTCAATCCTTCGAATCAGGTAACAGGTTGAAATAATCGTACTTGAATTATACAGATCATCCCACGAGTTCGAGGGACAACCCACTACCGTTCGAAGACGCCGTCAGCTCCTGCATGGGCATCCTAATGCCTTG